TTTAACATACTGATGAGTACTTTTGTTGTGTAGGACTTTGCTATCAGTGCCTTGACAGCCTTTCTGTGGCTGGTCAGTACTTTTGTTTGGGCAAAGGCACTTGCTGACATCAAAGTGTCCACAGGGGCCAGCATTGTCCCAGGAATTGAGTCTTGCAAAGCACCAGGAACAACTTGTCACTTCGTTTCTGTGACCAGCATGGGATCTCTGAATGTGTCTGTGGTATGTATGCCTTCCACCCTATGGGTACAACCAATGTCTTGGAAGATACCAAGAGGCACTTGAGAGTCCTGTTCTATAGATTGCATGTGTTGCTTTAGGTGTTATTAGTCATTCAGGTCCATTAATACTGTGGTAAAACACCAAGAAAAGTTTTTCTTTAGAAGCAAACTTCTTTCCTCAAAAAATTAAGAGAAACAACTTGTAGGATCTGTCTGTAGGAGTGTTAGATGCAGCATTTCCAGGCACATTTGAGTCTGCATTTTTTTGCCCTGTAGCCAAGAGTACCTTAAAATATGTTACTGAGTTACCTAAGTGGTTTGTTGTCTGATAGAAGTAAGGAGGAAATGCTATGGGTCCTGCTGCCTTTTAGCTTCATCAACTGTGAGTGGTTTTACTCATCAAATCAAGGTCCCTTGTAATACAGTGATATAAAGCTCATGTTCATAGAAATAACCCTTCAAATTAGGCTTACTGTGTGATCCTTCTAGTCAATCCTGCTTCTCAAACCTCTGGTGTCACTCTTTGGCCCAATAATGATTACTCATCTCCTCTGGGAGTGCATATGCAAAGGTGCTGAGGAACTGAGAAGAATTTGTGTAATTCCATGCAAAGGGTAGAGTGAGTTGACTCTCTGATCTTTGAGGAATTATGTTAAAATAGCTTCTTGTAGTACTCTACAGGATGTGGAAATGCCTTAAGAGTGAGTTGACTCTCTGATCTTTGAGCTTCTTGTAGTACTCTACAGGGTGTGGAAATGCCTTGCCCAAATCAAGGGGGTACCAAAGATAGTGGTTGTTTCTGGTTTGCTTTGAAGGCATATTCTGTCTTTTTGGGGTTTTGTCTTGGGTTGTGGGGTTTTGGGGGGAGTTGGGGGTTTTTTTGTGGTGTTTTGGGGTGGTGGGGTGTTTTGGGTTGGGGTTTGTTTGTTTGTTGTTTTTTAAAGGCAAAACAACCCAATGCAACAAACTGAATCTTACCTTTTTTAAAAACGTCTTTTTTTTCCATTCTATAGGTGTTTGGCTTGATTAATATGATTTTATGGGGGGGAAATGTTTGGATTATATACAAGGAAGCCAACTTGCACCACTCATGGCACAGAATTTCTGAAAGTCCAGGAACAAATGCAGCTGAAAGAGGAGCATGAAAACAAGTTGATACTTTGAAGTGCTTCCACCTTTACATCACACTGCCAAGAGCATGGAGCCAATTAGGATTTATTTCAATAATAACCAATAATGCTTCATACAAACTTCTGGGTTTGTACTGTGGTTTGATATAAGGTCTTGGATGCTACAATTTAAGTGTTAATTGCCCTGAATACATTATGCCTTTCTAAGCTCTGCAGCTTTTTATTATAGTCTTTGAAGAGCAAAATGATGAGGTTATATGGATGCTGACTCTTTTTGGTTCCTAAATTAACCTTATGGGAGGGAGGGATGGGTAAGAAGCAACTTTATCTGAGTTATTACTGCAACATCTGTAGTTCTAACAACAGAACTTGTCTGACAAAATGAAAAGTAAATGCAACCAGAGCATGTGAAAATGCAGTTCAGTTTCTTCCTGTTGCTGAGACCTTGCAGAACTTACAGCTCTGCCAAAGCTGCAGCCATCACATGTGGGTTTTCAGATACTTTGTTCAGATCTCCCTGTCAAATCTGCTCATATGTCTTTCCTGACAGGCCTAACAGCAAATTGGTCACAGGAGTAACTATTTAATGGCTTGGGACAATCTCTGAGCAAGGAGATTGTGGAATGAGTCCATAGTGAAACTATAAGCTAAGATGAGAATTTGTATCTAAGTGTGAGAGATGATTTAAACACTAGGGGAGAGCAGGAAGAATTGTGATCCAAAACTCTTACAAACACTGCAGAAATCAAAGCTGTTATGTTCTAACTGCACTTCTGTGCATTCCTCTTAAGGTGTATAAACAATGTGTGTGAAAGGACTTGTAACTAGAAATGTCTGAATATGGCTAAGTCTTCATTGAAGTTGTTCAGTTTATTCACTAGGAACTACATTTGACTTCTTTATTAAGATATCTGACTCCTTGCAAATTGCTCAGAGACTGTTTTGACAAAATAAGCTGCTCAGGTGTTTTGATTTGTTTAAACTGTTTGTGATGAAAACAGGCATAATAATAGGGTGTATATAACACAAATCCTAACTGTTCAGTGTGCCAGAGCTAGTGACTTTCTGATAGTAAATTTGCAGTTCAAAGATTTATAATAAAGTATGAGTGCTGCTGAAGGAATGTGCCTTGGGTTCTTACTGCTGTCAAGGTATTGGCTTTGTAACTTTAGCTGGTGCTGACCTTGCTAACTGAACAAGTTATCTATGCTATAGGAGGGAGTTTTACACTGGGTTGTTTTATCTTTTGTAGAGAGGACTATCTGTCTCTCCTAGAGACTACAGCTGTTTGGGATTTAAGGTTGCACATGATATGACTAAAAGGCTTGGGGGTTTATTAACCTTTAATATTTTTAGCAGAACTCTGTTCCATTAACCTTTAATATTTTTAGCAGAACTGTGTTCCTGTGTCTATTGGTTATGTGCCTACCTACAGACCTGTTAGTCATTGGGATGGCCTAGTTATAAAATGGAAACTATGTGTATCTTTGCACACATGAGAACAGGAATGGATCAGAACAGTATATGCCTCACTGATGGCTGAGGTCTAGCCAACAACAGAAATAGAGTTGGAAAGCTTAGCACACTATGATTGTTTCAGCAGAAACTTAAATTTCACATGCACTCAGAAAGACATTCCTGTTTTCCACAGGGCTGAAACTTTCCCTTATATTTCTGTAGAAGAAACAAGTGTGTCCCATCCCCAGAGTGCTTTCCTTCAAAAGCCAGGGAGACTGAACATGGCAGGGAGGACTATAGCTGGTGATATAGAGATTCACAGATATGTGGCTGTGTTTTGTATACAGCCTGAATTTCTACATGTTCTACACACCTAAATGCAAAGCCATGATACTATTAAAGTGTGATGTGCAGCCCACAGCAAGATTTTTTTTAAAAAGAGAAGTAACCATATGGCCAGTGCTGGCTCATTAGGATGAGGCTTGTTCCCCTTTGTAAGGGAGGGAGTGATGCAGAACACTGCTGGCTTTGACAGCTGCTGGAGTCCTGCAGCTGGGATGAAAGGGAAGGCATCATGCAGCCCAAGCAAGCAGCTCCTCTCATTTACCCTGGACACCCACAAAGGGCTGAGCAGCCTTTACCTTTGAACTGACATCACATTCATGCTGGCAGCACCAAAACACTCAGTGCCTTATTTACTCATGAGAGTGGGGGATAAGAAAGACTGTCTGATTTACCAGCTTTACCTTGACTGCACAAGAATCACTATTGCTGTCAGGAGATGCAATGTGCTTGATCCCTCTGTACTGAGGGAACAAAGGGCCTGGAAATCTGCCAGCTCTCTACAGGTAAGTAATCCTCAGCTGGCAGTAATCTTTCTTGCAGCCAAATCCTCTCACACTGCAGGAATTATTGTGGCAGCAGTTATGCAGCTCTAGCAAGTGAAGTAATGTATGATGCCTAGCTTGGTGCTGCTAGAGAGGGCTGTGATCAGAAACCCATGGTGGGAAGAAAGGCTGTGTGGTGGCAGTGGAGGAAAACAAAGCTGAGTATGGGATAGCTATTGGCATCTCCATGGTGAAGTATAGCATCCATCAGCATTAGGAGGTGTTTAAGGAACTTTGTGGCTTAGGATGGTATGACCAGTGATCTGATGGTCAGGCCCCTGACAATGCTGAGAAATGTACATACTGGGTGTGCTAACTCCCAGGAGAGTCCCTGCCATGGGAGTTGGCATGGTGTTGGTGTTGGCTGAGAGCTTTGCCACCAAGCTGCAGGAAAAGCAGTAGGAAATCAAGCCCAAGAGAGATCTGACAGTATCAAATATCCAGCAACCAGTGTAGACAGAGCTGAATTGAGTCACTCTGAGATCTGTATTGCTATGGCTACTCTCACTCCAGAGAGCAAACCCATCTCAAGCACAGGCTGGAGCTAGGACACTGAAAAACCAGCTGACAGGCCAGCAGTATTAGGAGTAGCTGTGACTGTACTAGAGCCACACAGTACTTTGTGAAGAGTGGTGAATTCCTCAGGGCTCTGTCTCTGTTGTACACCTATTCCTTGCAGCACTGGAAGGTGTAGGTGTGTAGCTCTCACTGAAGGTGAGAAAGGATGGGTGCCTTCTTGATGTGAAGAGCTGTAAGTCTGTGGGTTCCTCTCCTTCTCAAGGACAGAGGATAGCTGCAGCCTTTTTATTAGGTGTCTGGATCTGATGCTGGAGAATATGGTTTAGGGGTTACAGCAGTGACAGGTTAATGGTTGGACTTGATGATCTCTGGGGTCTCCTCCAACCCTGATGATTCTATTCTGTGATTCTAACTGTTGAGTTGCATTTCAGAGCCTGACTCAAATGTGGAATTCCCTTTCCTTCTGCAAGTCAAGCAGATCCAGGGTGTACCCTTAGTATCACTGCCCTCCTACAGATGTTTGGTATTTAGAGCAGGGAACAAGACATATTTCTGACCTGTGTTTTCCTTATACTTTTTAGTTGCAACTTCCAAACACTTGCCTGCACTCAGTAGCACTCTTCTTGCCTGGATATTTCATTCTTCCTCTTGAGTCAGGAAGGCTACAATATTGAGCTGAGTTGTGCTACCCTTAAAGTTTGTGCCCACATGGACAGGGTCAAAGGTTTTGCCCTCTGTTCCAGGACAGGGGCTCTAGGGGCTATAGAAATCTCTGCCAACCCTGACCATATTTTTCTTGCATTCTTTCCTTAAGAAAATCTGCCTCTGCCAGATTCTAGCCTCTGCTACCCATGTTCTGAGCTAATGTTTCATTGTGGATTCTCCTTGGCTGGCGCTGATACTTTTTTTCCTCCTGGACCAAACCCATAACACTCAGTAAGATTTCAAAGTATTCCTCTAGCTATCTAAGTAGTTTCCCTCTCATTCTGCTGCAGCAGCACTTGTTGCAAACAGTGGGTATGTGTTTGGACAGCTGGTTCTTATAACCCATCCCCTATTCAAGGAATCAGATTGCTGTTGCTGCCAGGAGAGTTGCACCTACCTGTGTCCCATCAGCACAGGTGGTTTGTACTTGCTGTTACATCTTGTCAACAATTGAGCAATTCCTCATTTATTCATAAAACATGCTCTGTCTTTTCTTGGCTTGTGACTTCATATTATTGCTGCCAGCTGCATTTTCCTCTTACCTGTCTGCTCAGCAGTTTGACTTGCAGTCATTGGGGAGGCTGTTCTACTGATACTTACTCACAATCTGAGTAAAAACTGATATTAGCACAAGCTCTAATCAATGTACCTGTTTCATTTCAATTTAATTCAAAGTTTGAAGTAGTCCACTCTAGGCCACAGCTGTGCTTGCCTTCTGTGGCCCTTTTCAGCAGCTCTGTCCTGAATCCCCTGGGTTATTTCTTGTCCTGTAAAGAGGCAATAATTTTATGTGCTGCATCCCCTACCTTGGGATGGTAATCTACCTGTTGTTACACATGATGCTCTTCCACCTTGGGATGGTAATCTACCTGTTGTTATACATGATGCTGTTCCCAGCTCCTTTTATTTTCTCATTTACACATACCATCCCCTAAATCATCTTCCTCTGGTGACTTCAAATCTAATTCTCCACCACTTTCTGCAGATACAGCAGCTATTTTTAATTTTTGCATCCCAATCTGCTTTTGCAAGCATCTAATTTTAGCTTCACATTTAATATGATCAGGTTCCCTTGGAGCTCTCCTTTGCTCTAGGGTGAATGGCTGCACTGTGCATGTTAATGCTTTATGCTTCTATGGCTTTTCTTTCCCTTTTTCTGGATTGAAAGTATTATATTTCACTGTTACATATATGAGCCACTAGACTGTACTCCTTTTCAAGTTTTGTAGGGTTTTCCTTTAAAACAGTTCTCTGATCAAAGCAATTATTTTCTGCTTTTACTCTGGCTATCTCAGCACAAAATAGTTTAGCTGCTCCCTCAACACTCATACAGGAATTGTATCCTCATGTTTCATTTCATAATCACCCTACAATAACTAGAGAATATTTATTCTGTATCATGCCTGGTCCTATGAGCTGAAATGGCACACACCTTCTTCCACAGAG